GAAGTTTGTCGATACCGTGGGAAAATCTCTAAATTGGCAGAGCCTTTTGAAAATAGATTAATGGTGGGCTATGATGGCTATGCTGGAGGGGGGCTTTTACGTAGTAGGAGTGGGTATTGTTCTGATAGCTGTGAAAACACTCTACTACCCTTATAGCCGTCCTTTTTTGCCAATTTTAGCAGACACCGCAAAAAACTTACGCAAGCACCAAGCAACACTAATTCCCGCAGCTGGAAAACGAATATGGAAAGGTGTGAACTACGTTGTTTGAAATGTATTACCATTCCCTTCTTAGACACTCGTCCGAATGTAAATTAAAGAATGCTGGTAAACGTTTTTGGGCGTGGCTTCTGGAGAAGTTTTTTCGCCACCGGCGGGCTGTTCACCCCCCCTCATAAATGCCGTTGCATGAACATCAGCACCCACGAGGTTTTCTGAAACCCGGCGTCCCTGAAAAAAACTAAAATACCTTATTTAATTAATAGACCATCAACAATTTTAACTGAAGAAAAATTAAGACAATTGAAAGAAAGGAGATTAATTTCCCAATTAAAAAATTTAGTTCAAAATCTGAGACTTTATTGGAAATTGAAATTTGAAAAAAACTATCACCTCTTTGGAGAGCTTACCCTAAAACACCGAGCGGCAGATGAACTAGCGGATGAGGAACGGATCGAGAACTCGTTGAGACTTTGCGATTTAATTTTCCGGCGATTACTCGGGGTAAAATCTAGTGGCGAATTGGCGATAACTGAAGTTATGTGGTTTCTACCTCTGCTCAAATAAGCGAAAGGGTACCACTTTAGAAGCCCATTGGCTATCTCAGTACCGGGCTTGCGAGATTCGAGGATCTCCACTCTCTTAGCTTCCAGCGATTCGCTGAAAGTACCCCTTGGTTTTTTGCCGTGTTTCTATTGGTTCCCAAGTTTATCCAACCTTAACCATCCAAAGTGCTCAACCCTGTGATCCAGTTTGATGGCTTTCCAACAAAGTTCGCTACTTACATGTTGTCATGTGTCATGTTAATTGAACATTTACTGTTTTCCCTTTTAAATGAAAATCTTTCCCTTTTCTAATTACTTAATTAAATGTATAAAATAATGGTTCCCCAATTTCTATCCTAATTCAATGTATAAAATAATTGAGTAATCACTCCTATCTTAATCTACCTCATGCCTCGAATATAATATATTATTCTTTGCAATGCTATCAGTTTTCTGACATCTGGGTTCATTATAAAATGTGGGTCAGAGATTATTCTTGACTTTGAATAAATTATTACAACCACATGGGTCTGGTTCAGTCGAAAGATTAGTTTAAAGCTTAGTGTTTTTTTTTTTTTTACGGATATGCGCACTCGCAAGGAAATGTCCTATCACGCTCGAGAAGCGGCAAGTGCGCGGAAATGTCGATGTATGTTGGTCTTGGAACGGTTCAGGTTGTAACCTGCAGGGAAAACCGTCGCAGGGAGTTTATTCCACAGCGATGCTGTTCTCCAGAGATATGAATTCTGATATAATGAGGTTCTTGGTGCCTCTAGTTTGACAGTAAATTCATGGTTACCGTCTGTTTGACGGGTTCGCCTGGTAGGTGCTACTCTCGGTGGAATCATACGTGCCAACTCTTCAGAACATTTTCCGTGTTAGTACCTGTAGAAGAGAGATAAATCGCCCACAGATCTGCGATGTCCGAGACCATCCAAGTTACGAGTAAGTGCGGGGTCATTGATCAGCTTGATAGCTCGTTTTTGCACGGTATTCAAAAGCATTAAGGTATGTTTGGGTGCTGTACTCCATATATGTGAGCAGTACTCCATAGTTGGTCGAATCTGGGCTTTGTAGAGTGTTAGCAATTGGCTTGGTGTGTACAGATGTCTTGTACGAAATAGCACCCCCAGCTTTTGGGACGCCCTTTTAGCAATATCTGCCACGTGACTGTGCCAAGACATGTTGGTCTCTGTAGTAACCCCCAAGATGTTCAACTGACTCTGTAATGTGACAGCACTTCCAGATAGCATGATGTTTGGCTCACCGGTGCTGGTCTTTTTTGAAAACAGAGCTGCTTGGGTTTTCTGCGCGTTGAACTGTACAAGGTTTTTGTTACCCCACTCCTCTATTATCTCCAGGTCGTTATTTATCTGCGATATTTGAGTTAGTCTAAGATGATGGAATTCACGTGCGGAAAGACCTGTGGGTGGTATGAGTGAGGAGACTACATTGCCATCGTCTGCAAAGCAATCAAGTGGATTTACTGTTTTATCTATGAGATCATTTATGTAAATCAGGAAAAGAGTTGGCGAAAGGATTGCTCCCTGTGGCACACCAGCATTTATTTGGTAAGAGTTGGAGTTCTGGCCATCCAGTGCAACATAAATGGATCTGTCCTTTAGGTAACTTTCAAACCAAGTGCAAAGTTTCGGCGATGATCCCATTGCTTTGAGCTTGTTGAGCAGATTTTCATGCCAAACTTTGTCGAATGCTTTAGATATATCTAAGGCAATTGTTCTTGTTTCACCCCGCAACTCAATCGCTTTTTGCCATAAGTGAGTGACGTATGTAAGTAAATCGCCAGTTGATCTATATTTTCGAAATCCGTATTGCTTATCGTTGATAATTTTGTACTTTTCCAAGTACTTGGTTAGGTGATTTTTCACAACTCTTTCCATTACTTTTGATATCACCGGAAGTAGAGCAATTGGTCTATAGTTTAACGTATCTGTCTTTTTTCCTTTCTTTGGAATGGGTTGTACTGCGGCAGACTTCCATGATGATGGATATACTCCTTGCCTGTAAGACAAATTGAATAATTTTACGAAAGTTGGGGTGAGTTCGTTGGCGCAATTTTTGAGTACTATTGCGGGAATGCCATCCGGACCTATTGCTTTGTTTGTATCCAGCTTTTTTAGGGATTTTCGTATTTCTCTGTGACAAAAGGGTACCTCTGGCATACTATGGGAAACCCTTTCAATGAACGGTGGAGTTTTTCCGTTTGGCACTGTTAGGTTGGAGTTGGAGGAAAACATTTGGGCAAGCATATTGGCTTTTTCCTCTGATGTTGTGGCTAAGTGATTATTTTTATCTGTAAGTGGTGGTATGGATGACTTGGTGAAGTTAGATCCAATAGCTTTTGCAAGAGACCAAAAAGACCTAGAACTACTTGGACAATTCAGCAACCTGTTTTTTATTCTTTGATTGTATGTTTCTTTAGCGGAGTCAATAGTAATTTTGCAACTATTTCCGGCTTCTATAAATTCTGTGTGGTTTTGAGCGGTTTGTTGTCGTTTCCAAAGGTTATATGCTCTGTGTTTTGTCTGTACAGCCGTTTGACACTGGCTGTTGAACCAAGGTTTTGCATTAGCTCTACGTTTAGTTGTATGTGGGATATATGCGTCCATTCCAGATAAGATTACTTGTGCTATTTCAGTACAGCAAATAGTGGGATCAGTTGTTTTAAAGCAAACCTCTTGCCATGGAAAATCCAGGTAAAACTGTTTTAGGTCATTCCATTTTGCCGATTTATAGTGCCACATTTTACGAGGAAGTGGTTGTAGGCTTGGTGGGATGAGCATTTCGCACTTTGTTATTATAAGTTTATGATCGGACGAACCAAGTGGAGCATCTACTTGAATTGTGTACGAGTCAGGATTTGTGGTTAGGAACAAGTCTAAAAGCGCTGCAAATTCGCCCCTTTCTGAGATACGAATAGGTTCATCGACAAGCTGCGTTAGACTACAACTTATGGCAAAAGCTTCTGCTTCTCTGCCTTCGTTATCTGTTTTGTTGTGGTGTTTCAGCCAGGGTATATTGTGGACGTTGAAATCGCCCAAAAAGACAATTTCCGCCTGTGGATAGTTTGACTGTATACTATCACAGCTTCCGGATAATGTCGCGAAAAAGTTTTGGTAATCGGTGTTACTTGGCGGTCGGTAGAGGCAGCAGATAAACTTGGTCGATGACTTTGAGGTGAATTTTAGCCATATGATATCAAGGTTCGCTGGTTCTAGCTTCTCCTCTCGATGACATGAAAGGTCATTTTTAATGTACACACAGATCCCAAAATTATGTCGAAATCGGTGGTGTAGGTCATAGCCGGGATAAAGATAGTTCACAATAGATGTTGCAGAACTGATTTTAGTTTCAGTGAGAACAAAGATGTCAGGTCTTTGTTCTTCAAGATGTTGGTGAACTGAATTCATATTTGTACTTATTCCTCTTATATTGCTAAAATCAATTCTGAGTTGAGTTTTTGATCTTCTCTTTATATCTTTGCATGAACGACCCCCAGGATCACCCGACGCCCGGAGATCCGAGTGGTCAGGTATTTTACCTCCGGAATATTTTGATCCTGGAGGCGCCATCATGCTATCTGTTACTCATTGTTGGAACCGGACTGCCAGCGCAGTAGCGGAACGTGGTGATACAACTTAGCGCTACTCAATTCTGGCATGGTGGTATCTCACCGGTCGACGCCCAATGAGTAAAAAGCGTCTACCACCTATAATCTCGGAAAACATAAATTTTGCCTATATATTTGTCAATTTTGGATTACAGCAATAATAATCTTGAAGCTATAAAATTCGATACTTTTCTGGCTCAAGTGCTTTTTACCCTCGAACAGCTTAGGCCTTTCGCAGAACTCCATGTGTTTGTAAATGTTATCATAGGGTCACATTTTAGCTATCTATAAAAATAAAACTTTTTCCACGAATACTGAATTTGAACCGCGAATATAAATTTTTATTGATTTTGTTACAAAATTGTAATCACAGCTTCACACTAAGTTCTTGCCCTTGTAAGAGAATGTTCAAAAGACTCACTTTCTTTTTGGGTTCTTTTGAGAAAACTGTATCTTTCAAAACATTCGTTGATTCCAGGATTAACATATTTTTCTTATTTCTATCAGTTCCATCATTGATTTATCAACTTAAGGTAGGTTTACACTAGATTTTTTACACCAGATTCTAAACAGTAGTTGGATTTAGGAAAAATGAAACACCATCGTCGGATCAAATATTTTATTATTTGACCTCAGTAAGATAAGATTGCTTTGGGGGTTTTAGGAATAATACATTTTACCAATTTCGAACAGCAACTTGCTGATGCTGTGTTTTAGAAAATAACTAAAAATCACTGAAAACTAATTTACAGTTGAAATAATAGCAAGGAATGGAACGTATAATATGACTGACTTTCTAGTCGATATAATTTTTGTCTTCAATTTGTTCCCGCTTAATCATTTCGTATTGATAAGGCGGTTGCCCTTCTTCCACTATCCAAACGGTACCGCTGGTAGCTTTTTCGATAAGTCTTACTACATGAGGACTCATTTCTTCCGGTCTAAAAAAATATCAAAAAATAATCACACTAGTACTTTGTACTTTATTGCTTGTTTGTTAAATGAAACATTTCCTGCCACACTATAGATGGAATGTTGAGGCTGATTTGATCCCCGTTGAAAAATAAAAAATCATATAAAAATCGTGTCTGAAGGATTTCCATTGACACACCCTGTATAAATATTCTGTAGCACCAACTCTGAAAATGTTCAACTTCATACTTGCCTCACCAGTTCCAGTTCACTGACTTGACAACGACTGGAGTTATAAAATAGTTTGAAACTTTACTTTAACATTAAACTTACGTTTGTTTGGGATGATTAGGATCCAATTCCGGAGTCGACAAATATATGTTCTTATATCTGTCGGTGAACAAATTCTCCGTAGATTCAGCACCCAATTGGGTCAATGTAATTCCCGGGCAAACTCCTATAACTTTCACTTTGGTGTCTTTAAAATGCGCTGGATGACCCCAGGCCAATGTCAGGCCGTGAACACCGAATTTGGATGCAGTGTAAGCTGGACAAGCCACGAAAGGTGCCACACCAGCTATGGATGATACGTTTATAATCACTGCTTCCTCGCCTGATTTGTATTTAGGCAGGTAAGTTTCTAGACCGAGCAGAGTTCCACGGAAGACACCACACTAGAAAAAATATAGATAAATGTATAATATTATATTATAGGTTATAAGTCCAGATAAAATTTAATCACCACCCAGAAACAAAATAAATCATTATAATAATAGTTTCTGGGTGGCCGCCAGAGTATAATACAACTTCAAGTGGTTCTATTGGGACAACTGCATCAAAATTACTATTCAATAGGACTATTCGTGATGAAATTCCGTCAATTTAATTAGTGAATCTACAGTCAGATAAAGAAAGAGAAAGAGAAACATGCTATCAATGCAAAGGTAGGTACCTATTAGATATTAAAAAATCCAAGAAGTAGAAAGTGTATCATTTTTTCAAAATTCTTCACAAGGATATACCAAGTATACTACTTTTACACTATAATCAGTACGGCCTGATGAAGATTTCTGCCAAAGTTTTTAACATTCCTTTGTTGACTGAGGTGATATCAGTATAAGTGATAAGTGATAACTCTTTCAATAGGTACTTTATTTTCTATCTTGAAGATTAATATGTACTGTAAATCCGAGTCATTTGAAGTGATTTTATAACCTATTAGTGCTGTACTCTTCACCTACTAAAGAGGTTAAGTCAAACAATCAAAATTTCTTGAAGATTCATTATGAAAATGACATTAGATATATGATTTTTCATAGTTATAAGATCTAGATCTTCGAAAGTGAAAAAAAAAAAATAAATGAAAATTATAAAATTTCATTCCTTTGCCCGTAACGGATTTGTACCAATCTTGTATCTCTGTACTTAACTATAAGCCCAAATGAGCTGAAATTTTCAGGATTGTAGTCCTTCGCTAGAATTAGATTTTCTGAATGTTTCAGATTCCTATCTTTATTGTAATTTCAATTTTAAAATAAACACTTACCAAGTTAACATCTATTAGTCTTTCCCAGTGTTTTTCAAGAGCGATGGCAGCATTGTTTATTAAAATGTCAACATTTTGAAATTTCTCTACTGTCTTTTGGAAAGCCTCTAAAATAGTATACAAAATTAGAAAATTGAACTGAAAAAATATAAGCAAATTAAATTTTCTAAACAAAAAAAGTTTTTCCAAATTTTTAATTGAATCAAAAATCAAACATTCACATTTCTTATAGATTTAATTTTAGTTATTTTTGGACTCTTACCTTCAAATTCACTAGCATTAGTGACATCAGTTTTTACGAAAATTGCTTTGCCTTCACCAAATTTGGCTTCAATTTCTTTAACTGCTCGTTCTCCAACTTCTGTAGCAACATCTGCTAAAGTGACGCCCTAAGCCAAAAATAGTTAACATTTGAAAATTGAATCATTTTATTTATAAAAAAAAGTCGTTATTGGAATTATTTAACTAAATATTCCACAAAATCAATTTTACCTTTACACCTTTAGCTAGTAAAGCCACGGCGATTGCGTATCCGATACCAGAGGCGCCTCCAGTAACAAGGGCTACTTTACCATTTATGTCAAACGTTGCCATTTTTTTGAATACTTATTGCCTTTACAGCCCAGTGAATAGTCTTTTATATAAAAAAATAATCAGTATTGTTTTTTAAACTTGAATATTTGCCTAATATAAATAATTGACTTCGGGTTAGTTTAAAAATGAGGACGATTAAAGTATCAGGTTATCTCTGGTAGACAATGGTTGGATTTGAGTATTTGTGTTTGCTTTGGAGCTTTTTGCAATGAAAACCAAATTATTGCAACTTGCCCAAATCTCAAATTGATATACTTCTGATTGTATTTTGATAACCTTTAGGAATACATTTATGAGATGGTTTCAAAAATGCCTCCGTTTTTTTCTTAAGTCTGAAATGATATTGTCACGGCTCTGGGTTTCGTGATAGGAATCTTGGGTCCATTTATTCAAAATCAAAGTCCAATTAGCACAACAAAAATTTATTCCACGTTACTACACACTCTAACACTAATTACTAATTAACTCAAATAACTTAACTCTTTACAATTCTTACAAAATAAATCGTATCAGAGTTAATTTTGAAACTAAAAACTACTAACTAATACCGGCCTTTATATATCCGTAATCCATTCTTGTAAAATCCAGAATAAACGCGATAGCCCTTTTTCCCAAATAGCGCTTCCGCCAGATTTTCGCGACACTGTCCTCCTCTTAATGTTGATCATCCCGATCAACTTCGCGCTCATGATATTTCGTCAATCTGTCCAAATGTACAGCTTTCATCTTACTCCTGGTGTTGCGTTGAACTCGATAAACTAAATTATTTTTCCTATTCATTATTCTGTAGAGACCTTCCCATTCTGAAGACAATTTCGGCGACACTCCTTTCTTTCTTGCTGGATTATACAGCCACACTAAATCCCTTCTTGAAATCCGGCTGAATTGGCTTTCAAGTCGTATCTGGTTTTCATTCGGTCACTGGCCAGCTGAATATGCTCCCGAGCTAAATCATGTATCCCCAGAAGTCGTGCCCTTACTTCGTCGGCATGATCTCGAATTTCTTTTCGTCCTTCTTCAGGTATTCCAAACATCAGATCGCGAGGTAACCTGAGTTCCCTTCCAAAAACGATTCTAGCTGGATTTTCACCTGTTGATTTGTCAACAGCTGCTCTGTAAGCCATTAAAAATAGAAGCAAATGTTTGTCCCAATCTCGCTGGTTCTTTGCGACCACCTTTGTCAGGTGTTCCTGTATGGTCTTATTAAATCGTTCTACTATGCTATCAGACTGTGGATGTGAAGGTGTTTTTCATGTCTTATGAATGCCCATGATCTCATAAATTTTCTTAAAGGTGGCAGTCGTGGCAGATTCGAAGTTTCGTTCCTGATCTGAATGCAACTCTAGTTGCACACCATGACGACTGAAAACTTCATCCACTAGCACCTGGGCAATAGTGATAGCTTCTGGATTGGGAATAGCGAAAACTTCGGTCCATTTACTGAAGTAATCCATGATAACCAAGATGTATTCAGGAAACAGTCCGGCAACATCTCTATTCTTTCAAATGGGAGACCGACGTTGTACTGTTTCATAGGCCCCAGAGATCTTAGTTCAGGGCCTTTACTGGTAGCACAGATGCCGCATTTTAGGCACCAGTTTTTAACGTCTTCATGATAGTGAACCCAGTAAAAACGTTCCCGAATTTTGTTCAAAGTCTTGTTAACTCCAAAATGTACCCCTGAAGTTCCGTCATGTAGGTATTTCTTTTAATACATCTTCTACTCGATCTTTTGGAATAACCAGTGTTCACGACATGCTTTTGTGAATTTTGGATTTGTGAAAGGACAGCTCCATTACTGGTGTGCTTGCATGCTTGCATCTTTGTCCAGAATCAACATGTCTTTCTGGTCGGGATAGGACAACACTGAGCCGGTATATAATGCTCTTTTTAATTCTCTAAAAGCGGAATCGCATTCTTGGGTCCAATTGAATGTTGATTTTTCTTCCGTTGATCGATGAAGCGGAGCAGCAATATTAGCAAATCCTTCTACTAATCTTCGATAATAAAAACATAATCCTAAAAAACTCCTTAGTTCATGTTTCTTGCGTGGTTTTGGTCAATCCCTGTCAGCATCTATCTTTCCTTCCATAGATTGTAGATTGTAGATTTCGAGGGAGTCGTTTCGGCTTTTCAGCCGCTCAGCACTGCTACCTTTGCAGATATTTTGTGCGTGACTCTACATCTTAATTTGTCTCCAGGAAGCGTAGACTTCTGCCGAAGGAAGCTATTTTCCTGGGTGTCAGTTGGCCCACTTCTTCTGGTGACAGTGTTGCCCCCTCGAGGAATTTGAGCCTCTTGCAGAATTGGGCTGGACATTCGCAGAGCAGGTGCTCTGCGGTTTCTATTGCGTCTGAGCAGAATCTGCAGAGATCGTCTTCTGCTCTGTCCATTAACCTTAAATGGTATTTTACTGGGCAGTGTCCTGTGAGCAGTCCCACCACCAATCTGATGTCTGGTCTGCTCATACTTAGGAGCTGTTCAGCTCTTTTTACTGAAAGGGTAATAAACCTTTTTGACTGTCTGAGTCCCGGTGTGTACCTCCAATATGATGACAGTTGGTCTTTCTCCCATTTGTTGAGTTCTTCCATGATGTGGCTTCTCATTAAGCCACAGTAGGGCTCTGGTCCATGGTATGGTGTTGAGGCCCCTTCCTTTGCGAGGCCATCTGCCTCTTCGTTTCCTTCTATGCCTCGATGACCAGGCAGCCACATCAGCGTTACCTGGTTATGTGTCGCTAGTGTTTTTAGGGTCTGTTTACACTCCCAGACTAGTTTTGACGTGCATTTGAAAGCCCTCAAGGCTTTTAAGGCAGCTTGGCTGTCCGATAGTATGAAAATGTGTTTTCTTTTGAGGCTTTGGTTAAGACACTCTTGTGCACATATATCTATGGCAAGCAGTTCGGCTTGAAATATTGTAAGATGTTTACCCAATGCCTTGGAGAGCTTGAAGTTAGGGCCGGAAATGCCTAGTCCAGCTCCTATCATTAGCTTGGATCCATCTGTGTACCACATATATGCATTGTCTGCTTGTGGTAGTTCTTTATTCTCCCATGATTGGCGGTCGTTTATTACCACTGCGAAGGGGATCTCTAAGTCCAATCTGACCATCATGTGGTCACTTGGTTTGCTGGCATTCTCCAGTGTTATTAGATCAACGATTTTCAGATGTCCCCTCAGATCGCCAGGCTTGAACTTGTCTATTTGAAATAGCCTGTGAGCGCTGGTTATTGCCTCCTTTTTCACACATAGGTGAAGTGGGGACATGTTGAGTAGCGTCTCTAGGGCTGCGGTGGGGCAAGTTGACATTGCTCCCGTTATTCCTAGACATATCAGCCTTTGCACCTTTCTTAGTTTAATCTGAGCGGTGACTTGTTGGGTTTTGGGCCACCACACCAATGAGGCGTATGTGACCATAGGCTTTATTATGGTTTGGTAGATCCAGAATACCATCTTTGGCTTTAGCCTCCATGTTTTGCCAACAAGTCTTCGGCATGACCAAATGGCTGATGTAGCTCGAGAGCAAGTTTTCTCTAACTGTTTGTTCCAAGTGAGGGTTTGGTCCAGGGTGACCCCTAAGTACGTCACTTCGTTGGAAAATGTTAGTTGTGTACCGTTAAGGGTTAGGGCTTTCAAATTTAGCTTCCTTCTTCTTGTGAACGGGACAAGGATTGTTTTGTTTGCGTTTAGGGATAGTCCTTCGCCTTCGCTCCAATTTTTAACGATGTTTAGGGCACTTTGCATTCGGCTTGTCACTATACCTTCATGTTTGCCCTTGATTACGATGGCTAGGTCATCTGCGTAGCCTATGACCTGGTATCCAGCACTACTCAGTCTGGTAAGAATTTTGTCTACCACCAGTGTCCATAGTAGCGGAGAAAGAACACCCCCTTGAGGACACCCTCAGACCGTGGTAGCGGTAGCTGATGCTCCGTTTATTTCAGCCGTAACGTGACGGTGCTTCAGCATCGACTCTATCCATTTTACAATTGGAACTTCAACATCCCATTCTTGTAATGCTCTGGCGATTGATTGATGTGAGGTGTTGTCAAAGGCACCCTCTATGTCGATGAAAGCTGTGAGAGCGATCTCTTTGCACTCGATTGTCTTTTCAATGTCTTTAACCAGGCAGTGTAAAGTACTTATCGTGGATTTGCCTGGCTGATAGGCAAATTGCTTCGAGTAGAGCGGTCTTCTCAATAGAGTTTCGCTTCTGATGTACTGGTCGATTGCTTTCTCCATTGTCTTAAGGAGAAAGGAGGTTAGACTAATGGGACGATATGATTTTGGTTCGTCCTCGGGTCGGCGACCCGTTTTTGGTATGAATATCACATTAGCTTCCCTCCAAGATAGCGGTATGTGCCCTAGGAGCAGGCTTGCCTTAAAGAGCTTTTGTAGGTGTACCTTTAAGTGCTCGTAGCCTTTTTGCAGTTGTGCGGGAAAAATCCCGTCTTTGCCTGGAGATTTGTAGGGTCTGAAGCTATCGATCGCCCATTTTATTCTGTTCATTGTGAAGATTTTCCCAGCCAGCCTTTTGCTCCTGCCGTTAGGGCTTTGTGGCCCTTCGATAGGCGGAGTGACCTGGTTCAGGGCTTCAAAGATTACCGAACCTGGAAAGTGAGTTTGTAGTAGTACCTCTAGACTTTCTGTATGGTCGGTACAGTGTTCTCCGTTTGGCTTTTTAAGCAGACCAATTCCGTTTGAGTGTTTTTTTGAAAGAACTTTTTGGAGACGTTGAGCTGGGGCTAATTCGTCAATCCCCTCGCAGAATTGTCTCCATGATTTCCTTTTTGATTTTCTTAATTCACGGTTGTACTTGGGCTGTTCTATAGTCTGCCCAGTTGCCGTTAGTTTTTGCCTTGTTGAACAGTTTTCTGGCATCTTGTTTCAGACGTCTCAGCTGCCCGTTCCACCAAGGCACATCCCTGTGGACTGCCTTCTGTTTTACGGGACAACTGTTCTCATAGGAATCTTTTATCGCATTTGTTAGATTGTCAGATGATGCCTCTAGCTCT